GCTCTGTTGACATTGTTCTTCAGATTGCCAGGAGATACCTAGGCCCGAGCCGGTTCAACTTCAGCTACCATTCATTGCTGACATCTACAGTGCATCTGATTACATGTCTGAAGAGATGGAGGTAAGATTTATCACTGGTAGAAGACATAATAATATGTACACAATAAATTGAATTCATTATTTTTTTTAAAATATGAAATATTTTTAAATATTACATGAATTATAAATTATACACTACTGGCCAAAAGTTTGGAATAATTGTGATAATCTGGAATAATTCCAAATTATCCAAGGCTGCAATTATTTGATCAAAAATACAGAAAAACAGTTAAATATTATTACAAATAAATAAGAGAAAACTTTAAAATATTGTAAAATGTAATTTATTTATGTGATCAAAGCTGAATTTAATCCAGTCTTCAATTTTACATTGTCCTTCGGAAATCATTCTATGTTGATTTGTTGTCAGTTTTTGCTGCTTAATATGTTTGAGAAAATTCAATAATTTTTTTAGAGAGGTACTTTTATTCAATAAGGATTCATTGAATTGATCAAGAGTAATAGTACATTATGAGCTTTATAATGTTGCAAAAGATTTTGCTCTCAAATAATTGAACTTTCTATTAATTAAAGAATTCTGAAAAAAATACATTGCAGTTTCCACAAAAAATATTTTCAACAATTAGAAACATTATTAATAATTCAGCCCCATTAGTAATTGTAAATGATTGAGCAGCATATTAGAAAGATTTCGTAAGCATCATGTTACACTGAAGACTGGAGTATTGATGCTGATATGGGGGGGTGGGGGGGGAGATTTTGCGGGGTTGGGGGGTCATAATTATTACACATTGACCAGTAGTTTACAAAATGATTGAAATATATTTTAAAAATATATAATAAATATATATATATTCTATTATGTCTGATACAGCAGGAATTGCTCAGCCAAGTGGAGGAAATGCATCTTAATCAACATGCAGGTAAAACATTTACTATATACATTTATCTAATCATCTTCGGCCCCGATCCGGCCCACGTCTGGTACTTGTTGAATCCACATGTACCATATGACACTTTATGGTGTCTGGGCGTGGGGGGCGTGGGGGGTATGGTCAGAGGAAGTGATGTAGATGAGGCTCTTAGTTTGGCATATTCACAAAATACCCTTTCTATCCACAGAACCCCAACCATGGGACACCTGTTCCCAACAACACATACTGACTCCCTCGAGGAGCAACTTTGAGACGAACTACTCAGATCATCCATGCATGCAGAACAACACCCCTGCCCCGGTCCTGCAATCCGACACTAATGGTAACACAACCAGCTGTCGCAGTTTTATTCAACCCAAGTCCATGAGAAATCATAACTGTTTTACAGAATTTTAATATTTCATTTGAATTTGGTTCATTAGTACAAAAACAATTTTAAGAGAAAAGCAAACACCCCAAACCTAACTGTAAGTGGGGCAAAAACGTATGAATGAGATTCTCAAATTCTTCTGAACTGGCCACAATTTTGGCAAAATGAATAGTAATGAATTGCCATGAGACTGCGTTAGCTTTATTTGAACCATTGACTGTTCATATCTAAAACATTGTACATATAGTAGTGTTTCTCTAAATGGTGTTGTACAATGTTACCTCTAGTCCACCAATGCAACCCTCCTAATCTCTGGGACCTGGAGATCACGATCAACTACAGGAGAATAGAAGTTTTGAAAACTCGCCTGTCTTCGCCACTCGTTCAGTTTCACTACCAGTGTGACCCATCTGAGCTGAGCGGAACGCCGATACGCTTCCCGACCACCGAGGGCCTGGTCGACCACATGCAGATTCACTTCACTAAACGCATCCTCGACAGCATTCAGAGAGGCCTGCAGCTGGAGGTCAACCAGTCCGGCATCTACGGCTTCCGGCAGGACAAGTGCAAAGTCTTTGTCAGCACCAGTGACCCCTCCGAGATCCACAACCCAGAGCCCCGAAAACTGCATCAGAACACCAGGGAGCTTCTGCTCAGTTTTGATAAGTTCGTAAAAGGTATAAACGATGAGAAAAGATACATATTGCACACTGAATAATCTCTAGAATATGTTGAATTAATATCCAACAGGAAGTGACGTCATCATAGGGCCCTTATTACAGCATGGCAGAAAGAAATCAAATTCCATTTTTTCTTCTTCTCACAAATTACAGAATTGTATGGAAGCTTGTTTCCGCCACTGAATAAAAAAAAAAAGAAAAAAATAATTGCGACTTTTTATCTCACAATTGCGAGATATGAAGTCAGAATTGTGAGAAATAAAGTCGCAATTGTGAGATATAAAGTAGCAAATGCGTGTTATAAAGTCAGAATTGCGAGATATGAAGTCAAAATTGTGAGAAATAGTCACAATTGCGAGACATAAAAGTTGCAAATGCGTTTTATAAAGTCAGAATTGCGAGAAAAAAAAGACAGAAGTACTCTTTATCTCACAATTCTGACTTTTTTTCTCACAATTGCGAGTTTACATCTCGCAATTCTGACTTTATAACACATAATTGCGAGTTGATATGTTGAAATTCTGACATCTTTTCTCAGAATTGTGAGATATAAACTCGCAATTGCGACTTATCAGGCTAATTATAAGGGGGAAAAAAGACTCACTTTTTCCCCCTCAGAATAGTTTAAATCTCACAATTCTGACTTTATATCGTGCATTTCTGACTTTATAACACGCAATTGCGACTTTATATCTAGCAATTCTTACTTTATATCTCACAATTCTGACTTTATAACAGATAACACGCAATTGCGACTTTATATCTAGAATTCTTACTTTATATCTTGTAATTCTGACTTTATAACACGCAATTGCGACTTTATATCACGCAATTCTGAGTTTATATCTCGCAATTCTGACTTTACATCTCGCAATTGCGACTTTATATCACGCAATTCTGACTTTATATCTCGCAATTTTGACTTTACATCTCAATTGTGAGATAAAAAGTTGCAATTACCTTTTTTTTCATTCTGTGGCGGAAACAAGCTTCCATAGAATTGTTTTTAGAATTTCTTCTTAAATTTTTTGGCAAATATGAGTTTATCAAGAACTACAAATCAGTATTTGATCCCAAACTACCGTGTGACAGGCTTTTGTGAAATATACTACCCTGTTAAGGCCGTTTAACACCAAGAACGTTAACTATAAAGATCACCATATTATTGTCCACACCAGTGGACGCTTATCGTTACGTTCATTACTTGTCTGTCACTTTAAAGGCTCAAGCTCATTACAGCAGGAGAGATTCTGATTGGCTGTCAATGTTTTTATCATTAATCAACTGGGAAAAATTGTAATTCCAACAATAGTTTGTCTTTGCCATTATCGCTACAATAAAGAGTTGTGGTCAACTCTGCTATTCTTTAATATTGAGAATAATTTTTAGAACTACATCTTTATCGTTATATTTGTACAGTTATCATCCTTGGGGTAAATGGGCCTTTACTCATTTTGGGACTAATAGCCTAAATGTTATTAAATTTAATAATTATTGACAATTAATTTTAAATAAAACAAAAAAATTCACTGACCAAATGTTGAAAAATATATGTATAAATAAATGTATAAATAATCAAGTCCTAATTTGTACCGTATTATGGAAGTCTGTGGGGCGAGTGTACAGCACAGCGGATTATATTTTAAAGTATGCTACTTTAACACAATTTTAACCTACGATTATAATATTACACATTCTTGCATTACTATTGACAGATCCCAAAACCAAACTTCACATTCATGCTTTTAAACCCTCCTGGACACTTGCCCCATTGACTTCCATTGTTAGTGTTTTACCTTTGTTTTTAAGTTTCTATTGTCACTGACAGTGATGCTGCCTGAAAATAGACCAGAACAACCTGTATTACAAGCGGTGTGTTTTTCCCTTCTGATTGGATCATCACGATTATTTTTCAGACCTGATGGATTTTAGAGAGAACAGACGGGGGTCTCCGGATTATACCATCTACCTGTGCTTTGGGGAGAAGCTCCCGGACGGAAAACCACTGGAGAAAAAACTCATCACAGTCAAAGTAAATATCTCAAAACAGAAACACATTAGCTCTTTTGTGTGCATTTCAAGTGTTATACCATATCCTTTTTTTCCATCTCCACAGGTTGTGCCTCTGATATGCCGTGAACTTCACGAAAGAGCTCAGATGGATGGAGCGTCCTCTCTTCGAAACGATAACGTCAGCTTGCAGATCTCCCACAACAGCCTTTATGACCTTATCAATTCTTTGGGTCTGCCTTCAATGGACTAAAGTTTCTGTTTTCACCATCAAATTACTCAGCCGTCCTTCATTTGTACATAAATTCTCTCTGCAACTGTTATACTTCTAGCACAAGGCAAACCGAAAGAACTCTTCAGAGGTAGTTTCCATGGGGTATTCTGAGGGTATTTAATTATAATCTCAATGAAACTATTGTTCAAATGCTCAGAAACCTCTCCTTGTTAACATTTTCTAATGAGGGATACAGCCTCGTTTTAATATCTTGTCTTCTAGTGAAGAATCTTTCACACTTTGCCCAAAGGGCTTAATTCGCTTCATGGTTATTGCCTTGTTTATGAATGTGATGTTTAGAAAGCTTGACATTAAATGGAGTCGTTTTAAAAAGCAGTGGTTGATTGTTATGGGTGTTAGTTTATTAGATAATGCTGATACCAATATCTAAACAGCTGAGGCTAATGAACATGTAAAAAATATCATACATATAAAATGTAATAAACATGCGTGTGTATATATATAGTGATATTTTGTTTTATTTACTGTATTTAGATTTAAGATAGTGAATAAGATGTACTCAATTTAAAATTCACCTGCAACACAACACATTTCACAAATAGAAAACGTCTAACTTAACATTATTTCTGGAATATGAGACTTCAGTGTGCATGAATCCTTAAATATCAGCACATTTTATGACTGTAAAAAAAAAAAAGCAGGAAGCATGCTAAAGATTTTTTCTTTTATTAAATAAAGAATCTAATAAAAATATTTACACAAACAGTGGATCACGAATCATGTATTCTGTGACTGCTTGGATTCACATGATAAAGTTCACTTGGTTCACCGAGAACAGACTCCTCTCTGACAGGAAAAGACCGGCGGTTTGCAACATTTCTGCACGCCTCACTGTGAGATACAACTGAAGTTACATGAGATCAATTCAACATTTCTCAAGCAATTAAAATGACATAATTAATGAAAAGGGTTCAGAAAATCCCAACATTTTGAATTACACTCTTCAGCCATCATTTACAATCAACTTTTCTGTCAATTCTTTTCACTGAACCTTTAGTAATGCATAAAGAAATGGTTATTTTCTAGGCTGAAAGTCATTTGTAAAAGCTGTCATTCACTAACAGAACAAAAAACAACAGCAATTAGAAAAAAACAAAACAATTGGCAAACACATCATCTGGCAGGATTTATCAGGAAATCTGCTAGACAACCACTTTTCACCTGAACAGAAAAGATCTATCATAGCCATTCACGTGTGTCATGAACCATATCGTTTTACATTTTCAACAAAACTATTCGATGAGGGTGAGGTCTACTTCCAGTGTTCCTGTTTTACTCGTAGTAGTAAACTAAAAGATTTTAAAGAAATGTGTCAACCAAATAGATTTCATAGTCTCATAAAGACTAGATAACAATATTTTAACTCAAATAAATGCTCTTTGTAAGTTTTTGGAGAGATCACAGAATGTCCCAGAGGATCTTATGTATTTACGGCATATATGTGACGTACCAAAAAAAAAAAAAAAAAAAAAAATGAATTCGCTCTTCAATGATGGAATCTTATTTATGATGGATCTTTGATGTTCACCAAGTATTGTGTGTGTGTGTGTGTGTATATGTATAGTCTGATGATGCAAGACACTGACTAATGACTTAAACTTCCTGTTGGATAAGCTTAAAATAGCAAAGAAACACAACACCCTCTTGAATACTCGTTTTAAACAATGGCAACGTAAAGATTTAACATATCTTGTCTTCAGACGCACCCAGAGACTTTCAAATGATCTTTACATTCAAAAGAAAACAAACAAACATTCAAAAAGGTTCATTTGATTACTGACAAGACGTTGAGCCCTTAAGAGTTTCCTACGTCATTGTAGAAATGCACAGATTTAAAAAAAAAAAAAAAAAAAATCCACAGATGATTGCTAATGGTACTGTCTGAAAAGGACATAGCCGTTTTACCATTGACTTCACACTGAAGTTTGGAAGTCTTGCGGGACGTCTGCCTGTGAGTTTCCCCCAGTTTCCTCTTTCCTGTGTTTTCTTGCATGTTTATACTTCTCCACGTAAGCTTTGACCAAGTTAACCACTTTCACCGGGTTGATCTCACCGCTCTTGCTATGACACACCTTGTTAATGAAGGAAAACAAGACATTAATGGAATAATTGTCATGTAATAACATAATTCTTTCATAATTAATTCAAGAAATTAAAAAGAAATCAAGGGGTGGTGATGGCGCAGTGGATAAGGCACATGCCTTTTGGTGTGAGAGGCCCGGGTTCGAATCCACTGTGAGACACCAATGTGCGACCTCTGACATATATAGCAATTGTAAGTCGCTTTGGATAAAAGCATCAGCTAAATGAATAAATGTAAGAAATTGCCCACTGAAGAGAAGGGCATCAAAATAGAATAGTATTTGCATATGCTAATGTGCTTGGATTTACTTGGGTGGTAAAAGGAAGTAAATATGAAAACGTCACGCAAGTTACCTTCTGAACGGCTTTACGCAAAATCTCTTTGTACTCTTCCTTCGTGATGTCTCTCTTCTGATAGAAGGGCTTTATTGCAAGCTTGACCTCCTCTATTGCTCGCTCTTGCATATGAAGTTTCTTCATGTACTACAGAAAGACAAACAATGAATAAAAACTCATGAGGCAAGGCAATCAAATTAAATGAGTCACCGATGTGATGAAATTGTGCTTTATTGACCTTCTCTTTCGGATCGGCGTCCCCTTCTTTGTGGGATTTTGGTTTGCTGGATTCCTCTTGGGGAGGAAGGCTGGAGACTGTTGCTTTTGTATCAGCCTTAGATGAAGCTTTATTCTTTAATATGAAACAGATTCATGGGATTATTGTAGTGCTGAAGTACCCATAATATCACTCAAGCTTGAAACTGCCCACAATGAAAATTCCCATTAACCAAGTTTCAATGATTTATAAGGGCTTGACTTCCTGTGATTTTCCGGGCTTTCCCTTCGCTTAAGGGAACGTGAAGCAATCATTTAATCAAAAGCACAAACTTGGAAAAACATTTTTTAAATACATATGAAGAGTTCAGATGCAAAAGCCTCTAAATGCCATTTGAAATTTTCTTCTTTAATGATGATTTTTATCAAACTTGTATATTTAAGTTCAGTCATTTCACTTAAATTTTTGTTATTTAAGTGAAATTACTGAACTTAAATATACAAGTTTGATAAAAATCATTAAAGAAGAAAATTTCAAATGGCATTTAGAGGCTTTTGCATCTGAACTCTTCATATTTTAATTATAATTATGTAGCTGAGAAATGCAAAACTTGATAAACTTTTTTTCAGGGACAGTATTCAGGGACACTCCTTGTGAAAGAAGGAATGCACAATTTTCAAGTGTAATGCTAACTTTCATTTCTTCTGAAGTGAAGCCTTATAAGGCTGATTTCAGTTTCTGTCACATGGGTAAGTAGGAATTGCATCATGAGCAAACAATTTGAGCGGTGATATGATGACACCCTCTGGTTTCTTAGAGCAACTACATATGAGGCACAATAATTATAACATGCACTAGTATACACAAAAAAACTTGTTCTAAGAGCTCTTATTACTTAAAAAGTTTCGTCAATAAAATTCTGTGTTTTCTAGAGCTGCTCCTGTCATGGAGAAAAATCTTCTCAATCTTGAAAAAGTAACACTCAAGAGTTCCAGAAGTCAAAATAAGATTTTATTGGGGAAAGCAGAAACACCTGCAGGACATCTGACCAACTCACACTTGTTTAGCTTTAACCAATGACCTCATTTGCAGGTGCTCTCCTCCCTTTTCTATTGCTGGAATCTCCCTAACACTTTCGCCACAGTTACTTCATTCCTGGGCTATAAGGAAGGGTGGGTGGCTGACTCCCAACCAGTCAAATAATACTTTGATTGTCCCACAAAATAATTATTCAGTGTTTTTGCCAATTATTTTTTATCAAGAGAACATTGAAGCTGCTCTTTTGGTTCACATGGCCTTCAACAGTGCAGATGCCAACCGCAAACAACTTTAGTTAAAATCCCTTTGCTTTCGCCTTTGACTTGTGTTTGACCATGAGGCCTTCAAAACACACTAATAGTATTCAGACTATATCTACAATTATTTTCTTACTTATAGGATAAGTAAAACATTTCATCACTCCAAACAAGCATGATAGTATGTGGGAACCCAAAAGAAAGTATTGTAAAAAATGTCTGTTTTGTCTTCCAAAGACTAAAGGGTCCCACTTTATATTAAGTGGCTTTAAGTACTATGTACTTACATTGAAATTAATAATTTGATACAATGGACTTATTGTTTACATACATGTTTTTACATTGTACTTACATTTTAAAAATACCTGCATGTAATTACAGCTGTAATTAATTTATGTAATTACATTTGTAATTACAATGTTGACCCTACCCTTGCACCTTAACCCACCCTTAAACCAACCCATACCACCTCACCTGTCCCTAACCTTACACCTATCACACCTCAATAGCAGCAAAAGTGTTTTACAATACAACAGGAACACAATAACACGTTGTACTTATTTTTCGATGTAAGTACATAGTACTTATAGCCACTTAATATAAAGTGGGACTAAAGTCATAAGTGTAAAACAACAAGGGTGAGTAAATTATGACAATTTTAGTTTTATTTGGAATCTATCCCTTTAAAACACTGGAAGAAATAAAGTATAAGATGAGTTTGTACCTGACCGGAGGTTTGTTGGGATGAAGCAGACCTTCGCGACCCTTCTTGCTTGAGCTTTAGTTTGAAGAGTGCAAGTTCTAAATAAGCCATGGGAAAACATTCAAAACAATTTTACTAAATTTTCAAAATATTTTAGTTTTATATAGCCTGAATGCTTCAGATCAAGCCTGATGTGACTAAAGCCCGGAACACACCAAGCCGACGCCGACGCCGACAAACTAGCGCTGATGAAAGCCGACTGTGTTGTCGCCTCTCGTCGAGGTAAAAAGCTGCACTTGAACACACCGAGAGAACTACAGGCAACTGTCAGCTAGAATGCGCAATCTGCGCCTGTGTGTAATGAGCCAACTGTCTATTTCTGCAGATATATTAGTCTATATTCGTCATTCAGAAAGGAAAACCGACGCTGCCGGCTGCAGATACACACTGTAAACAAAGCAGCGCGTGCTAACCGTTTTGAATATCAGTCCTGCTAAACGCTTTCTTTATTCCACTCTGCTCATGTTAATATTGAAATATTCTCCAAGGAACACTCAGGTAAGATGGCATAACATAAGAACAGCCTTCTATCTTTACCGTTTTGACTTCTTTGCTTGCTGTTTGGCTTTTATTCTCTTGCACTGACTCTTTCACTAAGCTGAACAGCCAATCAGAGCTCTCTCTTTACCCGACGGCCGACACCAATTCAACAGGTCGAATCCAGCGAAACAAAGCCGACGAGGACTATTTTCAGCCGATTAACACAACGAGGAAACTTAGTTGGCCGACGCACAAAAACTGCCCGACGGCCGACCGTCGGCTTGGTGTGTTCCGGGCTTAAATGTGTAAAGTAGAGCATAAAACAATTTTACTCACTGCTTAATTTATCAGACTGGGGTTCTTCTGGTTCCTGCAAATTCCAAGTGACTCGCTTTCCCTGCGGCTTGGATTTGGCACCAGCTGTAACGGTTTCAGTAATTTCCTCATTCGCTGCTGGAGCCTCTAGAACTGCAGACTTGGGGTCGACAGCTTCTGTCGAGTCGGCCACAGAGCTCTCACTCATTTCTTTCTTAATAAAGTCCAAGTTATCAATCAAGTAATCAATGCTAATATCTTCATCGGATGACACAACAGGTTCTTGTTTTATTGGGGGGTCTGGTGGTTGGAGAGGTGACAACTCCATGTCCTCCTCTAAAAGCGGCGACTGATAGGACTCAATGGGCTCCTTTTTACAGTTTGCCGGGTCTATGTCAGGTGTGTCTGAACCGATGACAAGAGGGTTATCACTGCAGCTTGGAGAATCATCGTCATCAAGCCATATTTGCTCGATTATCTTTTTTGGTGGCTCAACCATTTCTTGCAATTTCATTTCCTTTTTACAGTTCTCAGTGTCTATGTCAGGTGTATGCGAACCGATGACGAGAGGGTTGTCACTGCAGCTTGGTGAATCATCTTCATCAGGCCATATTTGCTTGATTTTAATCTTTTTTGGCTCAACCATTTCTTGCAATTGAATTTCATCCTGAAAGCCAGCGTGCCTCTTTTCTAAATCTGCACTTTTCAAATTCATTTCATTAAGATTTGGTGATTCCTTGAGGAAGATGTTAAAAGACATCTCTTCATGTTTCATCTCTTTAACACCATCTAATTCTCCACAGAGTTCCTCCTCCTTTTTGAAATCTTTCAACTCCTGGACAGCACCAATGGGCCAAGGTTCCTCTTGTTTAATTTTTTCGGACTTAAGCAGCTCAAGCGAAACATCTTCCTTGCTTTCTTTAACCCTTCTAGTCTGATCACCATGTCTTGATGACCCAAGACCACGAGTTGTGATGTCAACCAACTGAGTCTCTTGTTTAATTTTTTCGGACTTCAGCAGCTCAAGCGAAACATCTTCCTTGCTTTCTTTAACTCTTCTAGTCTGATCAACATGTCTTGATGACCCAAGACCACGAGTTGTGATGTCAAACAAATGAGTCTCTTGTTTAATTGATGGTTTAACTGAAGTAGTCTCATGTTTATGTGCTCTTGCATCTCTCTCTGTCTTCACCTTTGTTGTAGACCTGACTGAACCAACAGCAGGCGTATGTAACTCAGTGGACATGGGCTCTGCAGACTTATGAGAGCTCCTTTCTGTGCGTCGAGAGGGCTCTGATCGATCCTCTTGCCTTTTTCGCTCTCTAGACGTTGATCTTGATTTTGACCTCTGTCTCTTTAACCTATTCTCACCCTTATCCTTTGATGCCTTCTTCCTTTCTCTGGATCTAGATCTACAAAACGAACGAGATCGAGAGCGCCTTCTTTCTTTTGATCTCTTCTTTCGTCTTTCTCTCCCTCGGTTGTCATTCCTCTCACGACTCACTCTTCTCCCACTTGTCTTCCTCTCTCTACTGCTGGAACTCGAGGAACACCTCCTGTCTCTTGACCGTGGATATCTTCTCTCTTTCGATCTTGAGCGGTGCCTCTCTTTTGATTTCGAACGGGATCGCCGCCGATCCCTTGACCTTGAGCGTGACCTCCTCTTTTCTTTTGAGTGTTTCTTTTTATGGGAATCTTTAGATGAAAGGCTTTGCGATTTTGATGGTGACTGCTTCCTATCCATGCACTGGGACTGGTGAGGTCTTTCCATTTTTACGTTAGTAGCATTAAAGGTACCACTGACTGAAGGTAGCTCTTTACACAACCCATTTCCTTTGGATGCTTGGATTGCTAGAGACTCTTCAAGGGACTTTGATTGGGGCCTGACGGGTTGAGGTTCAGCCTCAGGCTCAGACTTCACCTCCAACTTAACGTTTTTGTCACTGCACGACGAGCTTGATCTGGAGTGCTCTTGAGCTTTCTGAAATGGACTTTCTGGAGTTTCACGACTTCCAGGATCTATGCTAGCATTATCTGAAGATCCTGTGGCAACCCAACTGTGAATTGCGTCTGAATGATGTGGCGATTGTTTGCACGGTTTGTCTCTGCAAGGATCTGGCTCCGTTTTAACTTCTGCACACATTTCCGAGTCTCTCTCCATATCAGAGTCCGCATTCACAGACTCAGATTTGATTTGATGACAGGCATCGTCATTGACTCCAACTGGTACCCGAGGCTCAGTATTTTGGGTGCTAACATCAAGACCCTCACCTTCTGGTTCATTATCAGATGAATCAGACCCCGTAGGGTTAAAGGGGTCATAGACCTCACACTTCTCTTCTTTGCTCTTCTCCTCCTTGGCCTTTGTTTTTAATGACAACAGCATGTGTTTACTTTTATTACTCTTCTTTGTTGATTCCTCCTCATTCCCAGACAGAGTCCCTCCTGATGCAGAAAGTCGCCGAGCTTGCCATGGGTTTCTGCTAGAGTTTATACGGAAACTGACAGAAGAAGAGGACGAGCACGAGTTTGAAGAGGCACTGAAAGATGATGTACTGGAGGTGAAAGAGCTAGAAAATGAAGAAGCAGCACCAGTTCTGTCTGATCTTTGACTCGGAGCATCCACTGTCCTGTTTTGCTGACTTGTACCCATTCCTTGCTGATCAACGGTACGTTCCCTACCTGTATTGCCAGCTAAGCTGGTCACTGAAGACCCAGGCAAAGTGCTGCTACTGCTGTCACTGCTACTATTTGCACTGGGGGTACTGTCCCTTTTAATTTTTGGTATCCTTGGCAATACAGAAACATCCACCCATACAGGCTTTGGAGGGGGCTTTCTGACAGGCGGCTGTCGGGCAGGTCCCTCCTGGTCTTGATGGGGAGAGTCAGAAGAGCTATTTGACACCCTTGAAAGGGGTTGACCTCTAATCCCATTAGTGCTCAAGTGGCCATTTCCAGGTCTTGGTGTATTTAAGCTGATCGGCCTGTGAAGTGCACATGGATGCAGATTAGGATGACCCAAGGGAAATGGGTGAGGGTGAGGAAGATGCGGAGAGTGTATGGGTGGAGATGTGGGAATCTGTGGAGTGGAACAGGACCCATGAGAATTGTGTACTAGTGGAGGCCTCCTCAATGGGCTGGAGGAAGGACCAGCCTGTTCAGAGGGGTGGATGAGACTTGTTTCTGTGTTTGGTGTGTTTCCTGGTTCCCCTGAGCCTGATTCTCCAGGGATAGTGTTCATTGGCAAGGACAAGGACACTGCAAGGAACAAACAAACATTTGACTTTTGAACGGATGGCAGTCATGCAACATCAACTCAATTATTACTGAACGATCTATACAGGTGCATTTAGGAAGTAACAAAAATGCCTGGCTTATGTTTGTATATATATATATATATATATATATATACTGTATATATATATATATATGGTAACACCGACTATCGTAGCAAGCCTGGAGCTCAACATTCATGTGAGAGGTCTCCTATTCAGAGAATAATTACATCCTGTCCTGTGTCCTGAATGTTCAAGAACAAGTTTAAGTTTTTGCACTTCAGTTAATGTGTAGAAGATAATGTTTACAGAATTAAATGTGAAATTTTATTAAAGTGAGTTGAACAGTCTTATTTTGCTAATTTTTTTGTTATGTCTTTGAATAATATGGGGAACATGATTCGAAATATATTGCAGAATCGAATCGCAATACTTGCTTGTATCGCAATACTGTATATTGAGAATCGCAATAATATTGAATCGTGGCCCAAATATCGCGATAGTATCGAATCGTCACATTTTTGCCAATTCCCACCCCTAGTGAGTGAGTGACGTTCAGGAAGAGGTGACTGACACAGGCTGCTCCACACAGCAACAGAGAGCTGAGCAAAAAAAAAAAAAAAAACACTTAACTGCAACACTATTTTTGTTGAATAGATGTTTGTACCTTAACTTGATCTTAGCGCTGCGTTCGACACTATAGATCATATAATACTCTTGGATCGACTACAAAACTTCACCGGTGTCCAGGGACAGGCATTAAGCTGGTTTAGATCGTACTTATCGGACCGTTCTCATTTTGTCTGTTTAAATGGGAAAAAATCAAAGATAACGTCAGTAGACTATGGAGTACCGCAAGGATCGGTTTTAGGCCCTCTGCTATTCTCAATATATATGCTGCCACTTGGTAATATTATAAGAAAACATGGAATTAATTTCCACTGTTACGCTGACGACACTCAATTATATATTTCATCACGACCAGATGAAAACACAAACTCATCTAAAATGACAGAGTGTCTCAAAGATATAAAATGCTGGATGACGCGTAATTTCCTGCTATTAAATTCAGATAAAATGGAGGTATTACTTATTGGTCCAAAAAACTACTCACAAAACCTCTCACAATACAACTTTAATATAGACGGATGTCCTGTTACTTTATCCACTACAGTAAAAGACCTGGGTGTTATACTAGACCGCAACTTGTCTTTCGAAAATCATATTTCATATGTTACAAGAACAGCCTTTTTCCACCTTAGAAACATTGCTAAGCTACGTAACATGCTATCTATTTCTGATGCAGAAAAATTAGTTCACGCATTCATGACCTCGAGACTAGATTACTGTAATGCTTTATTAGCCGGTTGTCCTGCATCCTCAATAAACAAGCTACAGTTAGTACAAAATGCAGCTGCTAGAGTTCTTACTAGGTCAAGAAAATATGATCATATAACACCGATTTTATCATCTCTACACTGGTTACCTATTAAGTTCCGCATCAACTACAAAATACTACTACTGACCTATAAAGCCCTAAATGGTTTAGCACCTATGTACTTAACGGACCTTCTTTCACCCTACAATCCACCGCGTTCCTTAAGATCACTAAATTCAAGGCTTCTGGTCATTCCTAGGATATCGAAGTCCAGTAAAGGAGGGAGGGCGTTCTCGCATTTAGCTCCAAAACTCTGGAATGGCCTTCCCGATACGGTCTGAGCCTCTGACTCGCTGACACAGTTTAAAACTAGATTAAAGACGCATCTCTTTAGTCAAGCATTCACATAATGCTTACCTTCTAGTCCTCTGTTATGCCATACGGAACCGTTTGCCACTGAAACTGCTTAACGCACCAGTGGGGCTCGACAGCCTTTTAGACAAACGGGTCGGCGCGTATGGTCGGCGCGTATGGTTGGGTTGCGGAGAGTTCGGGTTACGGAGAGTTTGTGAGTTATAACGGAAATCATTATGAACATCAGCTATGCTAATTATTTCCCATCTGCCTTTCTGCTGTTATCTCGGGACGCTTGTCCCGAGAAAAATGGCGTTCGTCAGGTCCAGTTTTGTGTCCAGCCTCTCACGGGGATTTCGGATGCCCCAACGCCTGTGATGAGACGACTCAACGCCTGTGATGAGACGACTCAACGCCTGCGATATGTTATGGCGCCGTTTGATTCATAAACAATATTTATATTTAATATTTATATTTAAACAATATGAATGTAAGCCAGAGGAGAACTGGCCCCCGACTGAGCCTGGGTTCTCCCAAGGTTTTTTCTCCATCCAATCTGATGGAGTTTGGTTCCTTGCCACTGTCGCCTTGCTTTTGGCTTGCTTTGAGCTTGCTCAGTTGGGGTTATTTAGTGTTTAGCAATGTTGTTGATCTGTGTTGTGCTACTTTCATGTTATCACTGTGAAGCTGCTTTGATACAATCTGTATTGTGAAAAGCGCTATATAAATAAATGTGACTTGACTTGACTTGACTGGGTTCCGGAGGCAGTTTATAACTTTTGGGAAGTGGAGTTTGATTGGGAGATTATTACATTACGCTGCATTATTGACGTCTGCAGTCAGGTGCTCTCTTGTTCGCTCTGTTTACTCTGTAATTATTTGTTTTTATTACATGGCTTGATTTAATTCTAATGTAGAATGAGGTCTGTTATTTATTAATAACAGACCGCTGCTTTAAGAACACACCGTTGCCATATTAAAGGGATAGTTCACTTTGAAATTAATTTTTGATATGTTTTATCTTACCTCAAGGGGATCCAAGATGTAGGTGTCTCTGTTTCCACCGAATTTTCAATTTTGACATTTTTTGGTCAAACCATTGTTGTCTGTCAGTCATACACTGGAGGTGAAGGGGGTCCTCAATCTGTTCACCTCAAAGAGCATGCACAGAGAAGTCAAAATTAAACATGATTTAATGACTCGTACATGTAAGTACACATTGATGGCCTTAGACACGAAACGAGCGGTTTGTGTGAGAAAACGAACAGTATTTATATCGTTTTACCTCTTGTAATCATAGCCATGACAAAATGATCTGACGGCACGGGCGCTTCGGTCTGCGCATGCGCTGGAAGTGATCGCTTGCGCGCCTACGTCACTCTTTGTTTATACAGAGATTTCGGTTTTACCTTTTACCTTAAAAGTTTTACCTTTCACTAAACATATTTAGATATACGGGAAACCGCAATGGAAGACGATTTCGGTATATCTAAATATGTTAAGTAAAAGGTAAAATTTCCGAAATCTCCGTGTAAATATTGAGTGACGTCACACGCAATCGATCACTTCCGGCGTAACATTGAACTGATTCGGTTCGGTTCAGTTGGACATTGAACAACTGATTCAGATACTTGGATTACACGAGGTAAAAACGATATAAATACTGTTCGTTTTCTCACAAAAACCGCTCGTTTCGTGTCTTCAGCGATCAATGTGTACTTACATTTACGAGTCATTAAATCATGTTTAATTTTGACTTCTCTGTGCATGCTTTTTGGTGGACCCCCTTAGCCTCCAGTGTATGACTGATAGACAACAACGGTTTGACTGAAAAATGTCAAAATTGAAAATACTGTGGAAACAAAGACACCTACATCTTGGATGCCCTTGAGGTAAGCTAAAACATATCAAAAATTAATTTCAAAGTGAACTATCCCTTTAAGAACACACCGTTGCCATGAAAAACAGAGCGTTGCCATGGATTCTAAACGTTGAGACGGAACAGACTATTTTTTAGCGGGAGCAATACAATAATTTTTAAATCAATAAACTCCTTTTTAAATCAATATTTTGAGTCAAATGATTTATTTATTTGGTAGGTAGCCATGTAATAAGCGGGGTTATGTATAGCGAATACAAACCCTTCAGGCTGATTCAAGACCCCTCCGCCTCGCTATACATTATCACTTACTTATTCTGTCTGTTAAGCGTCCTCCAACATGGACAGGTGGTGGTGGGGTTCATAATGTTCACAATTGTATTTTATTAGTTCTTGTTTTAACCATGGATGAGGTAATTAGACTGTTATGTTATTTTCTTTTAAATGACGTTCCCTGTCATGTTCATTGCTGGGTTTATAGAAAAAACATCAACCAATGTTGCATATCATCCACAATTATTATAATGGATATAATTAAAGAATCCTTACACTATAAAGTAAATTAGAATAGTAACACAAAAAAAATGGATTTTTACGCCTATTTTGAATTTTACTCAAATACAAATAGTTTTCCCCCCTCAACAAATACAAATACCGGCTGGGACCTATCAGGTACATTGCTAGCCTGGCTGACGTAAGACCGACGTATCTGGGAACCACATGTTCATTTTCTTGTATTTGAGGCGTGGTTTACGAATGTCCAGAGCCGTTTATTGGGTGCTAGAAATGTCTTTCAAAAGTGCCTGTACGTAGCTCATAGCCAATCGTTTAAATTATACCAGATAACGTATGTAGAGCGAAAGAAATTAGACGAGGAAGAGGACGATGGGTCAGAGATTTATTTGCGTTCTAAACTACAATATCCAAGGCTGCATCAAAAAGTAACTTCGCGCCTGCTGCCATGTTTGATTCATAGGTATAAATAAACTGCTTCGGTGTGTTGCATAGACATTGTCATCATCTTGCTGCTCCCTCCCCGTTCTGTGATTGGTTCCCTAGATGAGGCGAAAATTTGGTCCATGGTATCTATCCAGACTACATAGCCGTGTGAATAAAATCGCGCTAAGCAAAGGCAGTATTGGGAAACCCAGGCTAGTACACAGCTAATTTCCTCAAGGATTTTTTTTTTTAAAGGGACAGTGAAGATTAATCAACATTCATATAGATGTAAAATATACCCAAGTTATCCCAAAGGCTAATATAATGCTATAGATGTAAAATATACCCAAGTTATCCCAAAGGCTAATATAATGCTATAGATGTAAAATATACCCAAGTTATCCCAAAGGCTAATATAATGCTAATAGATGTAAAATATACCCAAGTTATCCCAAAGGCTAATATAATGCTATCAACTATACAGGGAACCCAATTGGTATATTACTATCATATTAAAGGATAAAATTAAATGATGTAGGCTAGGGGTGGCACGGTACATGAAAAAACGCTTGTCTCGGTTAAGCGTGTGTGCGTCTCACGGTTCGACGCATGCGCAATGCAGCCACGTACCGTATGTGTAGGGCTGTCGCGGTAACCGCAATATTGTAGTACCGCGCTTCTGAAAAGTCAACCGCAGAGGATTGCACGTAACCGCAGCAACCGCGATATTCAGGTTTTTTTTATAAAGCTATACCCTTCTTGTTTTGAACTTAATGCATGTGTATTGAATGCTAAACAAGTTCATAATGATAACAAGACTGTTTATCATGGTGATGTGTAGCCTACAGGTTTCACACAGACAGTGAATGAGAGAGATCGGCAGAGCGCGTGCAATTACCACCGTCTGTCTTTGAAGTCGTGAAAAGCTTGTCGTGTCAAAGGGAAGTGAAATATTTGTCGCATCATCATTTTAACGTTCTCTACACGGGTATTTTCCCATAAATGCGCGTCAGCAGCAGCGCTAGTCAGCATCCCACAGCATAAAATTAGTGAGTCACGCATTGAATCAATGCTAGTATATGGGTCTCTAATAAGTGAAGCATCAGCTTCAGCGTTGCCCATGCGACGCATTGCTGCACAGCTGAGCCTTGAAAAGTTGAACCTCAAGGTTAAAAATAATTAACATCTTGTTTCTTTACATCTCTTTTAATGAATCAGCTTTTTTAAACGTGTTCGTTGAATGAACAACTCGCTCAAAGTCCGTTGTCATAACAATATGCGCGCTGAGTGAAAGTCTTTCAATGCGCATATTATATACTGTAGACGCTGTTTAGTTTCGGTTACATTGGTTACTGAAAATGTCCTCGTTTTTGTCCACATCGTAAACTTTATTTATATAGCAACAAATACATATAAATTAAATAAATAAATAAATGGCGGTAATACCGCATATCGCGCTATTGAGCCACTCAACATTACCGCAAGGAAAATTCCATAACCGCGACAGCTCTACGTATGTGACGTGCGTTTTCTTTTCTCGCGACATATGCTTGTTCGACTTGGACCGGCGCTGCACAGAGCGACCGGTGAATAACATCAAACTAGTGCGAGAGCGGCGGCTCTGTATGCTTTTCAATCACTTTCGCGGTATTTGATGTCATTACCGATCGCTCTGTGCAGTGCCGGTTCAAGTTAGTAAACAAGCCAGTTAAAGTGGAGTATGGAGCGCTGCAGGTCACGGCACGCGGAGAAATGGCAAGTGGGACAGATGAGGGAGTTGGAGGATGCGCCAGCGTCGTATAAGTCTATAAGTCCGGTGTGTGGGGACATTTTGGATTTCATGTTATGATATTTTAATATAACGCTACAGTGGCACTTTATGTTTAGATAACAGCTTCAGTCAAATGTTTCCAAATCCTGCACTTTAATTTCAAGTGAAAAAAAAGTACCCTCACTCTCTGGGAATAGAAGCATTGTTGATACTGTCTTTTGTGTTGAGGTTGAACTTATGTTTAACTTTATGTTTATGGCCTTTGCTATTGCTATAGCTTATTATAGGCAATGAGGTTTCATGTATAGTGACTTATTCATAAAAGACAGTGTTTTAAGAGTTCCTCTTTTTTTCTTTTAAAAGATAGAATTTTTGTAAGAGCTACAAAAGTTGGCAGTTGATAAATGCAAGTTAATTTCTTTGTGTAAATAAGATTTGTGTGAAAAAAAATGCACAAGTTCTTGTAGACATAGTGATAAACATTCTCCTTTTTTTGCCAAATAAACGAAAAGCATGTCAATGTCTTCTCTCCTGCTGTGTCAAAATCTCACCTAGCTTTCCTCTGAGATAGTCCCAAAATGTGCTTAAAGTCAAAGAGTCAAATTCAGTTTGTGCATGATTGCATGAATATCATTTTTTTATACTGTAGTGTGGATAATTAAGCTATATATCACATGCTGAAGTACATTTCTGGAGTGTTAAAGATTAAAAGAAAAAAATAACAAGAACCGTACAGAACCGAAAAACGTGACCCTAAAACCGTGATACAAACCGAACCGTCGGTTTCGTGAACCGTGCCACCCCTAATGTAGGCTACTTACTTTTAAATTATAAGTTTTTATAATAATAATAATAATAATATACTAATAACGTTATAATTAGGGCTGTCAAACGATTAATCGCACGAATAATAAAAATTTATATGTAAAATATTTATATATAAAATATAAATTATATATAAATCTATATACAGTATATACATGAAAATATTTCTTAAAATACAAACGTGTGTGTATTTATATATATATAAAATAATTATACACAGTGCATCCATAAACATTATGTAAACACAAACTTTTATTTTGGATGCGATTAATCGCGATTAATCGTTTGACAGCCCTAGTTATAATTTTACATTTTGAATGACAATTATGTTTCTACACTGTTTTTTTTATGTATAAACATTCAATTGGCTGTCACATGAAGAATATATTCAAACCTTAAATATTGAAGAACAATAAAAATACAATGAATATGGAATAGAGTTCATATATTTCTCAAAATGCTCCTCTCTAAGTTTATTTTTCTAGCTGACTAAAACGAGTTTTTGGACAATGAATGGCTTTTCAAGTAAATATAACATAACGTGACTTTGTTCTCAAGCATTAAACATAGAACGCATTTCAAGAGAATCGCACCACCGTTCCAGTTCATCAGAACTCAGTCCACCTCCTACATGTCGTCTCGGGTTCGGTATCCTGGTGCGCTACCGGGTACGCATGACAGCTTTCCCATTTTTTCACGCGAACAGTATCCCGTTTTGAACTAAACCGCCATTGTGAAAGCACCCAATGTCTCCAAAGCATGACTTACCGGGTTTGGTTGCTTTGAGGGAACCATCTCTGTTGATGACCACATCAGAACTGTCCATGAGGAGCATGCTCTGACCACTGAGGATACTCCCCAGCAGGTCTGATACAGGGGCAACATCTCCCTCATGTGGGACACTCACACCTTGCCTGGAAACCACCACACAACCAGGATTTAAACACCCATTTAATCCTCAAACATATTTTCATTGTGATTTTCATCACCTTGAAGTAGAAATCATCTGTTTCCTCCATCGTGACCATAAAGAGTGATTCCCCCCCTCTAGTAGTTACCTGGAGAGGCCGGCAGATATGGGTCTGGCCACAGGCTGATGGGACCGCAAGGCAGAGCGGGAGAGGCCACGGCGTTTAGCTTCCAGAAGAGAGGATGGTGTTGGAACTTGATTTTCATCCTCCCTAACAAGATAAATTGGAAGATTAACTTAGACACTCAAGCACTCACTACTTAAAAAGAGTTGCCAAATATAAAACCAATAGAACTTCACCTATCATCAATGGGGTCTAGGTCAAAGGGATCTCCGTACACAGAGAGGGAGGCTGCGCCAATTTCTGCCCGCATACTTCCTAAACTGTACTCTGAAGGCCGATAAACTGAGGGAATAATGGAACCAGCCTTGGGCTTCTTAATCCCTAAACTCCGTGCAATACGACCTCTGGAATTAGTTTCCTTCTTTTTGACCTGAAGCGACAAAACAGTTTTGATTTTAACACTTTCTTGCCAGATATAAAATTGCAAACTTTCACGCGTTCTTGCATAGAAGAGGTACAGTAAAGCAATACTTTTAATCAGAAAATCATTTATAAATGATTTGCTTTCAAAAACCAAAAAATAAAGAACAAAAACTGTAAAAATGCTGTGGTTCCACATCTGCCAAGAACTTACCAGTTTTCTTCTAAATTTTGTTTTCCTCCCTCTGCGTTTCGGTCTCTTCACTCCCATGCCTTTTTTTGTTTTCCCCCCAGAGATTGCTGAGGATTTGCTTTTGGTTTTCCTTCTTCTAACTGGTAAGAGAATCCCATTTAGATCAGACAGAATCACATCCAGGTTAATGAAAACCAAAACACTGATTATACATAGTACTATCCATTTCACATTTACCAATGGCCAATAGTAGGTAACACGCATCTCAAAAGAGTCTTCTGTAAACCATGTGTTATTTTAGAGTAGGGTCTCTGATTTCAACACGGGGTAATTATTTTTCTTTGAAAGAAATAAATACTTTTATTCAACTAGAATGCATTAAATGCATCAAAAGTGACAGTAAAGACCTTTATAATATTGTTCTTTTGAACTTTTTATTAATCAAAAAACATAAAAAAAAAATGCTTCCACAAATATATTAAATCACTCTATGGTGAAAATCAAGTTTTAATGTTGTTTACATGTCTATATGGTGTTTTTAATTGTTTTTCATGACACTGATTGTTAGAAGGCAGCTGTCTAACTCTGAGATGGCGAACAGGAACATGGTTTGTGTAAGAAACACATTAGCTGTTTGATGATCTAGTAGTCAATCCAAAGGCTAATCATATTAATTCCCGTTATGTGTCTGACGTTGTAAAGAGTGATACCATTGTGCAGAGTTTACCTCAGTAAGTTGACCGAGTGGATCTCTGAACTGGTGTGAGTGAGTGGAGGTGGGGCTAATTTGCATATTAATGGCTCCGCGTGTACTAAATGAAGCATCGGTGTAGTTACATTCAAGCTATTTTAAGGCATGAAGAAGAATCTTCCACAGGAAAAAATAAATAAAAATTTAATTTTGGTGATCAAAGATAAAAGTATTGACTACAGAGGGACTTTAAGCAGCACAACTGTTTTCAACATTGATAAGAATTTCTTCTTGAACACCAAATCATCATATTAGAATAATTTCTGAAGGATCATATGACGCTGAAGACTGGAGTAATGATGCTGAAAATTCAGCATTGATCACATTTTAAAATAATATTACAATAGAAAACGGTTCTTTGAATTTGGAATATTCCACAATATTACTGTATTTAATCCAATAAATATTTTTTATGTATATTTTTTAAGATTTTTGGAGTATTTTCATATTTGACATTTACCTAAACAAATCTTAATACCAGGTGTAAACAGTTGGTCTACATTGGCGCTTTTCCATTATCAGTACCAGCTCGACTCGGCTCGGCTCGACTCAGCTCGCTTTTCGTTCCGCTTTCCATTGCAGACAGTACCGCCACAAATAGTTCCTGGTGTTCATAGCGACGCCTTTCGTTCCTCGTTGCCCCATCAAGCTCTCGCTGGATCCTTTCTTCGGCCACCAAACAAAGGAAAGTCTGCACCGCCTCGTTTGACCACGGCGTATTCTTCCAAGTTGCCATTATAATGATAGTTAGTTTAGTAACTATCTCTGGCCAAACTATTTCAAAATGGCAGGGTTATTCTGGTTACTCCATCTGGCGCGTGTAATGACACAGTGAATGGTGACGATTCTCTCTGACCAATCAGCAGTTGGCAATGTTTTCACGTGACATTTTAGTATCGCCTCAGCTCAGCTCGCTCAGAACCTCACCGGAAATGACACAAAAAAAGTACCCGAAAGCAGGTACAGTACACAGTGGAAAACCAAACAAAGGTGAGCCGAGTCGAGTCGAGCTGGTACTGTGTAGTGGAAAAGCGCCATTTGTCTCACCTGTCTTTCTCCTCCGGCGGGTTCTGGAGTGAGGCGTCAAGTCTCGTACATACACGGCTGTGCTGAGTCCAGCCACTACAGCATTGATGGTCTCATCCAACCACGTGGACTGCATCATGTATCTGGGAGTAAGCTAACACACAATACCACACAAATCAAGCACTCACTCAGCTCACAACAGCACAGCACTGCACAAAACATTCCCAAAGAAGAGTTTGTTCAATCACGAAACCCAACCATGAGCAAAAGTAAGTGATTTTAATTTTTTTTTATTCATGCTTCCAGCATTTAAGAATCCCATTCCCTTGCATTTCAACAAAACAACGTGAACATCCAAAGTATCCGGTTATTTTAGGATTAAACAAACCAGTTAGACCTGCTTCATCATCCCAGTGACACACACATCTCAGCCACTGTTACACACTTGTGATTAGAGAGCAAAGCAAAAGCATCATGCAAACCTGTGCTGCTGTGCGTGCCTGTGTGATGCGATGTCTGTTGACGTTGGCCCGAACTCGTTCGCTCTGCTGGGTCCGTGCGATCGCTCGGGTCGGTCTGGCCCGGGAACGGCTGGTGGTGGGGAGAGAGCTGCTCTCCTCCTCACTAATGTGTTCAGAACCTAAAATAATAAGATGAAAATGATGGTTGTTACTACAAATATGTAACAAATCTTAATGTAATGTTAATGTAACAAGTAGTTGTGAGAAATGAAAGATGACCTGACGTGCGGTTGCTGGCGACGCACTCTGGGCAAAACCATTCCTCCACAGGAACCGCATCCAAAGGTGGCGTGAGACATTCCATGTGGTACCTTCCATACAAAAGGGAGAATGATATAGAGTAAGTAGTCAAATGGAAATTAACCAATAAAACGGCGTCCCTGTAAATAGGCGGGGCTAATAAAGTACTTAACAACAAACACAAGTTCATCCAGTCAAACACCATAAATGTGTTCAAATATAGTGGAAGGAAAATGTACAAAGAGGAAAACACCTATTATTGCAATTCTTGAGCATTTTATATATTATATTTATATTATAATCATTATCATTATTGATACAAACGATAATAATAATAATATGTAGTTATCTGTGCAAGATATTTTGAGTGTCTTGCAGTATTAACATAAATGCTTAGTTAATTGATCATTTTAAAATCAGATGTAATTTGAATGAAGCTGAAGTAGAGACAGATCTTTTCTTCTGTATCGTGACAAATTTCAGAAAACAGATATTCGAAAAGGAAAAAAATGTTGGTTGTTGATTGGTTGAAGGCCGATCTGAAAGCGGGGCTGGCAAAACGTTGCACAACGTTTTTTAAACAGAAATGGTGAACACACTGTTGAACACACTGTTCTGATGACAGAAGAGTTGCAACTATGGCAGCTGAGATGTTCTATGCCTGATCCATATCGCCTGTGAGAATTGGAGCAAAAGCCCTAACACATGGCCACATTTGACATTCGGCGACATCTACCTGTATCTCATTGACATGCCATCTATGTTTATCAGAGAGTCAATGAAGGCGTACAAATCTTTAGATGCCTATAAGTCATAATTACGAATATTACTTGTGTTAACTGGATAACTGGTAAATTTGTTACAACTAGAGTAAAATTTTGAATCAAAATCATCTTACCTCTGATATATAACATTGGTCAACATATATGTAAAAATGTATCAAAGAAAATACAATAATTTGCCCTTAATCTATAAGGGTGTGTACACAGATGATACACTGACTGTACAGTACCCAATCTTTGGGTTGAATTATGACTTTATAATACTGTGCGGCAAAGGGCCATTACTTTTCTGCCAACCAGAGCACATGTAACCGCGTCGTGACGTCACGGGCGAAGATCTCTATTGGAACCAAAGTTGTGGACACTGAATCACTTGCCTGTTGAGGTAAATATAATGCTAGTGACAAGCTATGCTGTTTTATTGACGTCTTTCCGCTGCTGAAACACTGACTGAGCGATTACACGAGTTATGATGCCTTTCAGTAAGTATGCTGTATCTTTCAACATACCTTCAGGTGTCCATTCTGTAACTGAGGAAGAGATGATCGCGTTTACTCACGCGCCGCACTGCCGCTTGAGATGAAGAGCCTAGTATGCCTACAGCGATCTGTCAAGCCACATCAAAGAGCGCCAAAACGCCATTTATTGTTTACAGCGTTTATGCCTACAGCGATCTGTCAAGCCACATCAAAGAGCGCCAAAACGCCATTTATTGTTTGAATTTCGTGATCAACTAGACAGAATTCGAAAGATTACACCTTGCTTATTATCGAAAGTAACAAAACACAGAGCTTGTTATTTGGTGTTAATGGTGGTTAGACTAGAAAACTGAATTCGTGTACTGTACACATGAGACATGAGGTCCATTGAGCCAGGTTGTGCAGGGCCAGGGTAGCAGGGGGCGGGGCGGGCGTGAGTTCAGTATCATGGTTTTTCGGTTCGGTTCGAAAATCGTTACACCCCTAATGAATAAGGAAATTATTTAATACTTTTATACAGATAACTGGGGCAAACTGATCCTTTTGTAAATCAGAAACAATCTTCTGAATTAATAGATTAAAAACTCTGATACGTCTCATTTACAAAAGGTAAAAGACTCACCTGCTTATTAGCTAGTGTTCCTGAAAACCTTAATGAGCTCGTTCAGGTGTGTTTGATTAGGGCTGGAGCTAAACTCTGCAGGAATTCAAGTGGATCTCGAGGCACACATTTGCCCACCACTGTACTAGACCTAAGCCAATCTTATTGAGTGTTTTTATTATCAATTTAAATAAAAACACTCAACCTGATTAATTTACATTACACACTCCAGGAAGGCTATAAAGTTGATTATGAACAAAAAATAACCATGGCAAAAAACGCTAAAAGTCCACAAGTCATTGGTGCTCTTTGCCCAAATGAGTGTCTCAGTATGTAGTACTATAGTGAATTTATATATTTATTTTATGTTCATCTATATACAGTACCCAAGTCCTTAATTCATTTCTTACCCAGCATCACAGCCATCACACAGCAGCAGGCGATCTTCACGGTCTCGACCCCCGCAGACCTCACAGCTTGTCTGATCCAAGTCCAGCTCCACCTGTTCCTCCTCAGGTTTTACAGGCTTCTTAACTGCAATCTAAGCACACACAAACTAATGCTCTCCGATCTGCTTAACTAAGGCTGATATTTGGTATGTTCAACTTCAAGTGGAGTCAGAAAAATCGTCATTACGATGCCCAAGCACAAGAATGACAGAGAAAAGTTATATTTAGAAAGGGGGAAACTCATAATACACAAGAAATATTTACATTATAAGCGATTTGAAACACTGATCTACAGAGGTCAGTGAGCAGGTCTAATAATCACACAACTTTCACATTTGTGAAACCATTTTGTAATATCATCTATGAATAACTGATAGAAATCAATATTTTTTATTTGGGTTTATTATTGACAATATATTTCTTTCAATGCAGAAAACGTGAATGGAATCACAGAATCCTGTCATAAAATTGGAATTTACTGTAAAACACAATGTTGTCATTAAAACAAACATGAAGGACAGATCTGGTGTGGGACTCACTGTTTTTTTTACTTTTCCGCCATGACACTTTCTCAGGAAAATGTTCTCAAAGACTATTCGGTCCACAGGACAGGAGTTGGCATTCTGAAAACAATAATACATTTAAAAGGTGACATTATTGTTTATGAGCAAGGGTTATGGTTAACTAAAACCATTAAAAACAGTTTTGTTACTTCAAATAAAATAAATGTTAACTGACCAAAAGAAAAAAAAAAAATCTTTAAAAACAACTTGTTTTATTTCAACTAGTTGCTAAGGTAATTTTTTTTTAACAATGTACTTAAATTAACTTATACAATTATACAATTAATTAATTATATTAACACCGAAATAGAAATTATTTATAAAAAAGGTAACAAAAAAATACATATAAACACAAACAAATCTAAACGAATTAATTTAAAAAAAAATCAATTATGCATCTCTGACATGATCATCGGGGTCCAAGCACCAGTGGCTAATGTGGATGATTAGTGATCCAACTTAAATGGATCTTACGATGTTGTTTTTATAGCAAAGTCCATCTTGAATCACCACAAAGTTAAGGTTTGATGATAAAATGTGTGGACATATATTCAACATTTAAATTTAGATGAATTGCATGTCATAGGATGTCAGAGGACAAATTCAGATGAATGTGAAGATATAATTTGCAGCTCAAATAATTTATCTAAAGCTTTTATCTTAAGGCCCTTTTCATTTTTAGGGCCCAAGCCCTGAAAGGGCGAAGGCCCTATTGTTTTCCTAACGATTATTAGGGCCCAAGCCCTGAAAGGGCGAAGGCCCTATTGTTTTCCTTGCGATTATTTTTCTTCTCTATTATTATAATAATTATTATTTTACTACCTTTTGGGCACTTTTGGGGCCCTTAACGTGCTCGAAAACTCTTGAAACTTTGCACACGGGTCAGAACCCGCGGCCATCAGAGCCGGGCTGAAGCTGGTACCTGGGCGTGGCAGGGGGGCTCGTCAGCGCCCCCTGGAACGGGGTCCGAACACTCGGTCCATAACTCAAACACGCTTGCATGTAATAATATGAAACTCGGTACACATGTTGATCTCATCGTTTCATCTATACCTCGCGCTCTTACTTTTTACCCCAGCCCAACAGGAAGTCGGCTATTGAGGTTTGTTTGTAAAACGCTCGCAATGGTATTTGAAATACTCCTCCTAGAGCTTTGATCCACATTCGACGAAACTCGGTCAGCGTGAAGTCAAGACATTGAGGATGAAAGTTTGCGAGGGGATTTTTGATATCTCGAACGGTTTGTCCGTGGCGAGGAAACGAAATCATGGCGAGAAACGTGAAACAGGAAGTGTGTTATAACTTCAGCATACATTAACTGATCTTGATGAAACTTCAGCAGTGTGCTCGCTGTAAGAGGACGATCACATGGATGTGACTATTGTGAGTAAAAGTTATAGCGCCACCAACTGGCAGCAGGAAGTGTGTCACTTTCAAAATGCTTTGAAATCACCCTTTTATTTTTACCCGATTTGCTTCAAACTTCATCTGTATAATGTAAACATACGGCAGATGTAGACCTGTGAATGGATTCTTGATATCTTTGATACTGTTGCCGTGGCAACGCATCAAACTTTACCCTTCTTTTAGGATGCTTTTAGGATGCTTTTGAGACCCTTAGCATGCTTCAAATTGCATGAAACTCGACAGACACATAACATTTATTAGCCAGTAGACATGTGCAAAGTTGCAGAAACGGGCGTGGTGAGGGCTCAGTAGCGCCACCTTTTGACAAAAGTGGGGTGGTTAGTTTTAACTAGAGTTACAAAAATTGGTATGTATATTGTACTCCTCGAGCCGGACAACTTTCTAATTGACACTTATTAGCTAGGACCCACAGAAAGTCAGATATTTTTGTTTGAATATGGCCACTCTGAGCCTACATGTCTCTGTGTCTCTGTGTCTTTGGCTGGCTGGCTGGCTGTCTGTGTGTGTGTGTGTGTGTGTGTGTGCAGGGGGAGGGGGCTTAACCATTTCACTGCTGTGTGTATGACCTGCATAAAGAAAATACATTTCTCAAGCCTGGTATTTTTTAATTAAGTTTTTATTTTTATTTTTTATAAGTAAAGGCATATAACCAGTTTAATTGTAGTGAATTGACAATAGTTTTATATAATTAGTTTATTAATCAGATTAACTTGGTCAATAAACTTGGTCTGAAAATTTGGTCCATAAATCAAACACACTTGTATGTAATAATATGAAACTTGGTACACATATAGATCTCATCGTTTCATATATACTTCACACTCTTACTTTTTACCCCAGCCCAACAGGAAGTTGGCTATTTAGGGTTGTGTTTAAAACACATGCAATGGAATTTAAATTATTGCTCCTAGAGCACTGAACCAAATTCGCCGAAACTCGATCAGCGTGAAGCAGACATGGGGACTTGTGACTTGGTGACTTGGACTCGAGTCGACTCGAGTCGCTATTTTTATGACTTGTGACTTGACTTGACAAAAAATAAAATACTTCAGACTTGACTCGGACTTGGGAGTTAAAGACTCGGGACTTGACTTGACTTGAGACACGATGACTTGAATGACTTGAGTGTTAATCACATCATGTTTTCAGTTTGAATATAAAATATATAAATTATGTAAAAAAAAAATAAAGTTGATCCAGCTGGAGCGCAGGCTGAGAATAGCGCTGTCATGACTGGATCACGAGATCATCAGTCATGCCCTCTCATACCTTACGCACACCACGCCCACTTACATCAGATCACATCAACATGTCAGCCGGAGGGATACCGAGGGTCGTTGCTTTCGGCTTCAAGAATTTCTCAAAACAAGATGGCAAAAGAATAGCGCTTTGCAAGACATGCAACGTTAAGATCGCGGACAGCCAGACGACAACCTCCAATTTCGTCCGTCATTTGAAGAGCCATTCTGCCCAGTAAGTGCTTGTCAATTTGTTAATGTTATCTGGTTAGCTCGTTCGTAGTTAGCTAGCTAATGTAAGTTAAAGGAGAACTCCGGCGCAAAATTACACATTTCCTAGTCAACCATTATCTGAGATTTGTTTTCATGATTGCCGAATGTAAATAGATTTATCTATAAAAACAGTTTAGCCTATAACGCTAGTATATAGGGCATAGAGTAATGACAAATAAAAATCGCTTGTTATTACCACAAGGCTCAAAATAGCCCCACACTAACATAATAAGTGTCCCTACATTCAAAACGAAGCATTGAGAACTTTGTCAGTGTCCATACAGTTTAATAAGAATATATTTTATACACACAGTCAACTTCACGAATACAGGAAGAAGCTCAGGGAGTTCAGTTTTCCTGTAGGAACCCCTAGCAATACTGCCCTACAAAGGCAAAGCGCAGTAACTACACATTTGGTCAAAAATGAGTTAAGACTTGTAATGGGCTTTATGACATGTGTTCTGTCTTGTGAAAAAATATCTGGGTTAAATTATGTCCCATTTCGGAGATGCATTACCACATAATCTACCCATAACATGTTTTACTGGCTGGTATAAAAACTTTAAAGACCTTTTTCTCGCTGTTTCTTTGTTTGTGTAGTTAGTTACAGCACTTTGCCTTTGTAGCAACCAATAACGTTCCGGAGGGAGGATTTCTACAACTTGCTTGAACAGTTCCATTTTATTCTGAACACAAATTTTAAACACACACCAGTCAACAATAAATCAGGTTTATATTAATATATTTTCTTAAATGCATTTTAAATAATAAAAATAAACTAAAAATTTATTTTTATCAAACTTGACTGGGTGTAATTACTGGGAGTAAGTGAGTAATGTCTAATGCTTTTTGAAAACTTAAGGCTTTTTTCATAAAACAAGTCAGGACATCATCTCATTTTTGTATACATTTTTATTTCTTTAAATTAGTAAGCTAGTAAATGAATGCGTCATTGTACCCAAATGCACTTCCGAATGCGCCTCTGTCCATTTCAAACCAAACTGATGCCCATAGATGCATGTTTAGAAGAGTTTCAATTGCATGGGAGGGAGTAGCCAGCTAGCTCTCTGTTTTGTTTGAACATCAACAAGTGATGTTACCCCGCCATTGCTGATACATTTAAAACATTTAAAACATTTCAAATTGCTGAAAATTTAAAACATTTCAAACACACTATTGGCAGAACTGAAAAATAAATAATTTTATTAAGTTACAATTTTGTTTGATTCCATGATGTATTTTACTGAACATGAGTATTTACAATGCAAATCCAAATTATTGTAATTTACTGGCAAATACTTATCTTGTCATTTCACTTTATTAAGATCAGATTCTGCATGTAAAATTACAATAATAAGGTGACTTGACTTGCACTTGACTTGACCTACTACAAGACTTGACTTGACTTGACTTGACATAGCCTGTGACTTGACTTGACTTGACTTGCCCCCCAAAAAATACTTGGGACTTACTTGAGACTTGACGGTTAAGACTTGAGACTTACTTGAGACTTGCACATGTGTGACTTGGTCCCATCTCTGGCGTGAAGTCAAGACATTAAGGATGAAAAAGTGCCACGGGATTTTTGATATCTCGAACGGCTTGGCCGTGGCGAGGAAACGAAATTATGGCGAGAAACATGAAACAGGATGTGTGTTATAACTTCAGCATACATTAACTGATCTTGATGAAACTTCAGCAGTGTTTTCGCTGTAAGAGACCGATCACATGGATGTGACTATTGTGAGTCAAAGTTATAGCGCCACCAACTGGCAGCAGGAAGTGTGTCACTTTCAAAATGCTTTGAAATCACTCTCTTATTTTTAACCGATTTGCTTCAAACTTCATCTGTATAATGTAAATACATGGCAGATGTAGACCTGTGAATGAATTTTTGATATCTTTGATACTGTTGCCGTGGCAAAGAAACAAACTTTAACATTCTTTTTTGATGCTTTTGGGACTCTTAGCATGCTTGAAATTGCTTGAAACTCAACAGATACATCACATTTATTAGCCAGTAGACATGTGCAACTATGGCAAAAGATTAAAGTAATGTCAAAAAAGTAAACACTAAAAGCCTCATATCTTCTAAAAATGTAATTATACATCATTTGTTTC